TGTAAACTTGAACAGTTATGACTTGTAAACTTTACCTGGTACTTAACTTGAACACTTATGACTTGTAAACTTTACCTAGCACTTAACTTGAACACTTATGACTTGTAAACTTGAACAGTTATGACTTGTAAACTTTACCTGGTACTTAACTTGAACACTTATGACTTGTAAACTTTACCTAGCACTTAACTTGAACACTTATGACTTGTAAACTTTACCTGGTACTCCAATACATTGAAGACAGAATTTTATTTTCAATTACCTGAGACCTTTAGGAAGTAATCTTAAACTGATAGAGACATGACCTGTAATTCTTACGGTTAAAGTAGACTCCAATACACTGAATACAAAAACAACAACAAAAGTTGGAATTCAGGAGCATATTACTGGTTCATTATGGACTGCAGTACATTGGAGAAATAAAATCAGAGATAAGAATTCAGGTGCATAAAAGAGTAATACAAATCTATCTGTCATGCCAGAGAAAAAGTCTGAGATAAATTGGAATAACTAAAATAATAGCACATGAGGAAGAGAATGAAAAACTAAACTACTGCATCCACTTAATTGATAATACACTTGGTGAACCTAGCATTGAAATCAACAAAACCTGAATCCACTCTTGAAATCATTCAAATAGTTAGTTGATTCAAGTCTTAATAGTTTGTTGAATTTCACATGAAGCTCCTCAATGGCTTTTTTGTTTTAGCTGTCCCTAATTTGGAAGTGATAGATTGTAGGTAAGGCAGCTACTTAACACTGCTAACTGGGATTGACTGTCACATTATAATGCCCCATGGCTGAAAGTGAGAGCAATTTTGGTGACAAGAACTGAACACCTGATCTGCAGATTGCAAGTTGAACACCAGGCCAAGTTTTAATGAATAAAATGACAATTGAGTGGATTGTACACCAGCCTTTTTATCAAGGACACCCAGAATCGGGTCCCAGCCACCATCACCACTGATCAGTACTTCTCGCAACCAAATGTAGTATAAAAACTATTTAGTAATAACGATAATTAGATATAAGTGAATATATAAGCTACTAAACATGACATGCATTGGTCAGTAGGAGGTAAGTCAAATGTTACAAAAAAAATATTTATTTTGTAGCAAGTAACTGGATAAATCTGACTGTCAGAGATATGTACTTGTTATAAGTGAGTATATAAGCTACTAAACATGACATGCATTGGTCTGTAGGAGGTAAGTCAAATGTTAGAAAAACAAATATTTATTTTGTAGCAAGTAACTGGATAAATCTGACTGTCAGAGATATGTACTTGTTATAATGTAAGTGGTAACTAGTT